AACACTCAGACAGGCATGGTCACGCACACACTCAAGCCAACCAGCACTCAGACAGACATGCAGTCCAGCAAGCGTGCACACACAGACTTAGTAGCCAGCGGGAAACTCAGCAAGGCATTCAGTCTATGAGCGAAACTCAGAAATCAGCTGTGTGTTTCAGTCCATGTTTGGACGGGTCATCGCACTACTCCCCCCTCAAGAGCGAGGTCCCTTCGAGCGAGTAACTCATTCTGAGCCCTCGACAAACGCATCGTAGGCAAGCAAGGCAAATAGATTCCTAGAATACTCTGTCGCAGTGAGCCTTGCAGAGATCTTAGGTGTAGCGTTAGTGGCGATTTGTTGCTCGTAGGCTTTAGCAACGCGCGGTGCGCTGCGTAGGAGTTCTTGCTTGGAAATCCAGTACAGATCATCTAACGGATGATACATAAAGTGAACCTGGTACTGTCTGTTGCGTCCCTTCCCTACGTGCTCTTTAATTCGGTCTATCTCATGCCCGCCTTTGATCGCGCGAGGGATCATATCTTCGCGATAATCGAATGTCTTAGCATCACGGTGGAGGTACAGTTTGGACGAGTGGAACACGGGGTATGTGCACAGATGGGCTGGCACATCAACGACGTACGAAAGGCCAAAGTGATCTTCACCAATCACATCCAAAACTTCCCAGGGCCCATAGTAGAGTGGGAGAAGTTTATGTGAGACTCCCTCTTCTTCTGAGAATTCAGACATCTTGACCCAGACATAGCTTCCTACCTGAATATCCAACGGTTAGCGCTTCTTGTTCGCATGATGGATCATGGCATGCTGTCGCTTGGTCATAGCTGCAATGGCAACTTTGAGCAAGCGATCATACTTGGCCTTGAAGCCAGGCCTGCCAGGTGTTAAGCCAACTGGCTACTCAGGGAATAGGTAAGAGAGCGGATTACGGATCTGCCAACCGAGATGCAGCCTATTAGGTGCCATGCCGGTTACAGAATGGATGGAGTTGTTGTACAACCCCCTAACGGAATACAACTCTTCATCCCATGTTTCCTGATCCGGGATAATCAAAGCGCGGAGAAGTTGGAACATTGGCTTCAGGGTGTTGGCTAGATGTCATACACAACCTTATCCCCAGATGAGACGTGAAGTCCTTCTATTCAGTACTAATGAAGCGCGGGTCCCGATCGCTTACGAGAGTCTTCGGGATCCCGAACTACAGAATGTACTTTTGTTGGAACTCACGAATCACTAATTTTGTTGGGGCGTGCGGCGGCAAAGGGATCAGATTGAGAAACTTAGAGAATTGGTCAACAATCACCATGACTTGTGAGTAGCCATTCTTACGTACCTTCCCATGTCGGTGAAATCAACGGAGACGGACTCCCCAGGACCATCGGGAATGGGAAGGGGTGCGAGTAGCCCCATGTCTGCATGGTTTGATTCGTTGACAGACTTGACACTCAGCCACAAACTTTTCAGCAGTCTCGTTCATGCCAGGCCAATCAAACTGTGGCAGCATATTTGCGTACGTCTTTGCCATGCCGAAGTGTCCGCTCCGGCCATGAGCCAAATCCAGAAAGTGCGTGCGGAGAGGCTCATGGTTGGGCACACCCAAACGGTCGTGGTTCCCATAGTGACGGAAAATCAGTCCTCCATACTCGTGAAAATCAGGCTGACTACTAGGATCAGCTCGCAGCCGCTCAAGGATGGGACTAAGTTCCGGATCCTTGGCTGTCTGCTCTACGAGCTCCTCCTTCAGTTTCTTCCGGAGGTCGTAGGATTTCACAAGGCAAGTCATGTACTTAGGGTGGCGAGACAACGTGTCAGCGACTCGATTATAACAACCCTTTTTGTGTCTTAACTCAAAATCAAAAATGTCGATCTCATGGAACCAGCGAAGCAAGGTAGGGGACAGGGTAATTTGTTGTTTGATCCACTTCAGAGTCTCATGATCTGAGAAGACTTTGAAGTGGCGTCCCAAAAGATAGTGTTTCCAGTGGCCCAACGCCATACGCAAAGCATAGAGCTGGCGCATGTAGGTGGAAGTGGCTACCTTTACGCTGGGCATGTGTTTGCTGTGGTACTCGAGTGGCCGCAAGCCATCGTCGTCGTCTTGCTGCAGCACTGCGCCGATTTCGTACTGGCTCGCATCCGTAGTGACTACGAACGTCAGTTTGGGATCTGCAATGCAGAGTACTGGGTGACTTACCAAGGCTTCCTTTAAAGCTTGGAAGGCATTCGTGCACGTGGTGTCCCAAGAATAGGGAACATTTTTACTGGTCAACCGCGACAATGGATGAGCAACAATAGAGAAGCGGGGCACAAACTTCCGATAGTATGGCGCGAGGCCAAGAAAAGAACGTAGTTCGTGAATGTTCACGGGCTGAGGCCAATTGCGTATGACCTCAACCTTGGTTGCCTCAGGCTCCAGGCCTACAACAGACAACGGTGCCCAAGATAGATGACACTATCCTTCCCAAACTCAGATTTCTCTAAGTTGAGATGGAGTTGCGTCTTCTTGAGGATGGTCAGTACTTCCTCAAGGTGCTTGAGGTGTTCCTCTATGGACTTGCTGAAGATTAGTATGTCATCGAGGTAGACCACCACGAATCGGCCAATCTGTTCGCGGAGGACTTTGTCCATGAGGCTTTGGAAGGTAGCCGGTGCGTTCGTGAGACCGAAGGGCATTACGGTAAACTCGTTAAGCCCATCGCGTGTTTTGAATGCAGTTTTGTGCTGGTCCGCAAGATCGACTTCAATCTAGTGGTAGCTAGACTTGAGATCGATCTTGGAGAAGACCATGCACCCACCTGCGGCATCAAGCAAGTCATCTATTCAGGGCAATTGATAGGCTACGCTTCATCTGTCACCGAAGTTCCTCCAACTCGCCAAAACCTATTTCGGCTTGGAGGACGATCAAACCTACTTCAGGGTTGCTAGACTTGAGATCGATCTTGGAGAAGACCATGCACCCACCTGCGGCATCAAGCAAGTCATCTATTCAGGGCAATTGAAAGGCTAGGCTTGATCTGTCACCAATGTTATGACCCTGACCAATTTCGAGATACACATCCGTCAGAAAGTACAATGCTGTCCAATTGCAGAAAGACCCAAAGCAGCTATGGCTGCTCTAGCTCAGGCCGCCATGCCCAACCCTGCCTTGAAGCTTTTTGGTGTGGCTCTCCCCAGTTGGGGACCCCCTG